GAGAACCCAATTGTGTTTCTGACAGTTGATACTCTATCACTGGTCTTAGCCTTCTTTCTATGATCTTAGCATACCTTTCTCTACTGTGCCTAAGAAACGATGTTTCTCAGTTATTACAGTCCATCTTACTTCCTTTATTTCACCATAGCGGGACGATGGCAGCAGTTTGCCAATCTGATGGTGTTTCTTGATTTTCCCATGCCATCTAAAATATTCTCTTCAACAATGTTGCCCCGCTGCTCTTGCTGCCTTGAAGGCCTCAGGTAGATCAGCCATGCCTGTCGCCTTTAGTCTGGGGGCGGTATAAATGACATATTCTATTCATCTAATTATTTACCAGGCTCTAGATCATATGCTGTTAGTTCCGAGTTGTTTTCATGTTCTTCTCTGCTTTCATGTTTTATTGCAGCTTATTAACGATTCAAAGTAACTACTCCGCCTTGCAAGAATTTGGTTACGTTCTACTACAGGTTGGCCTTCTTCATCATTTTTATTTTCTTCTGGTTTCATTATTCATTCCTATTTCTCATGCCTTCGATTTTTTTTTTTTTTTTTGTTGGTAGTAGTTTTTCACTGCTGTTCTTTCTTCTTTAGCCACTTTGCTTCCAAACTTTACACATGAATCTCTTGTTGCTTGTTTAGCTATTTACTTTTCTTAGCCTGTTTGTTTTGTAATCCTCTTTGTTTCTGCTACTTAGCCAAATGCCATAGGATTTTTTTTTTTTTTATTGCTCACAATTCTGTTTATTTCTTCAGACTACCATATTGAGTTCCAATGTTAGCTCACCTTTTAGCTACACAGGTTTCTTGTGCTACTGGCATAGTGTTGTCCCTGAAATTCACTTATTCTGTATTTCCCCTAAGTGAGTGTGCCTATGAAGTTTACTACACCTTCTGTAAATCCATGCCTCTTGGATTTCCCTACAATGGATAATGGATTTCTGTTATCCACGACCGCTGACGTCCTTAAGGTGAAGGCCTTCCGCCATTGACATCAGAGGAAATTACTCAAACTCATAAAGAAGAGACTTCAGAAGAGGTCAAACATAGACGGGTCGTGCTAAAGATGCCATCCAACAAGTTTGTTCCCACCTTACTGGCTTCCGTGCCATCCAACATGTTTGTTCCCACCTTACTGGCTTCCGTGCCATCCAACAAGTTTGTTCCCACCTTACTGGCTTCCGTGCCATCCAACAAGTTTGTTCCCACCTTACTGGCTTCCGTGCCATCCAACAAGTTTGTTCCCACCTTACTGGCTTCAGTGCCATCCAACATGTTTGTTCCCACCTTACTGGCGTCCGTGCCATCCAACAAGTTTGTTCCCACCTTACTGGCTTCAGTGCCATCCAGCAAGTATGTTCCCACCTTACTGGCTTCCGTGCCATCCAACATGTTTGTTCCCACCTTACTGGCTTCCGTGCCGTCCAACAAGTTTGTTCCCACCTTACTGGCTTCAGTGCCATCCAACATGTTTGTTCCCACCTTACTGGCGTCCGTGCCATCCAACAAGTTTGTTCCCACCTTACTGGCGTCCGTGCCGTCCAACAAGTTTGTTCCCACCTTACTGGCTTCCGTGCCATCCAACAAGTTTGTTCCCACCTTACTGGTGTCTGTGCCATCCAACATGTTTGTTCCCACCTTACTGGCTTCCGTGCCATCCAACATGTTTGTTCCCACCTTACTGGCGTCCGTGCCATATAACAAGTTTGTTCCCACCTTACTGGCGTCCGTGCCATCCAACATGTTTGTTCCCACCTTACTGGCTTCCGTGCCATCCAACATGTTTGTTCCCACCTTACTGGCGTCCGTGCCATCCAACATGTTTGTTCCCACCTTACTGGCGTCCGTGCCATCCAACATGTTTGTTCCCACCTTACTGGCGTCCGTGCCATCCAACATGTTTGTTCCCACCTTACTGGCGTCCGTGCCATCCAACATGTTTGTTCCCACCTTACTGGCGTCCGTGCCATCCAACATGTTTGTTCCCACCTTACTGGCGTCCGTGCCATCCAACATGTTTGTTCCCACCTTACTGGCGTCCGTGCCATCCAACATGTTTGTTCCCACCTTACTGGCGTCCGTGCCATCCAACATGTTTGTTCCCACCTTACTGGCGTCCGTGCCATCCAACAAGTTTGTTCCCACCTTACTGGCGTCCGTGCCATCCAACAAGTTTGTTCCCACCTTACTGGCGTCCGTCTGGCAGCTGAATGTATACCCACGCCTGCAGCTCTAAACATTAACATGAAAGTCCACACCACCACACTTGACAGAAGCTTTAGAGAGCACATCCCCGTCACAGTAGACAGCTAAAAGCCTCACATGTGAAACTGTGGCTGTAAGTTGGGCATTACCACAGTTGGGTACTCAAGAGTTTACATACAAACATGTGAAACTGTGGCTGTAAGTTGGGCATTACCACAGTTGGGTACTCAAGAGTTTACATACAAACATGTGCGTACTCAGTTAATACGCTAAAGAAAATGTAGGCTGGTTTGATGAGAAAAGAATGGATTGCACCACTCAGTTTTGCTTGAATCGCTGGCTCAGCCTTTATCCTTGTGCTGGGTTTCGCAGGAGTTCGCGGCAACAAGTGTGCATATCCTTGTGCAGACACTGCGCTTGAAATGACCGGCCCGGTACTGGGCAGAAGCGATGATATCAGCACTTTACGCTGCACTTTCCGCAAAGTATGCCACTGAGAGTTCCTATACATGCTGATGGACATGGCAATGTAGACTGGAGTAGCTATAAATTAGTATTATACCATCAGTTACTTAACTAATATGAAGCTTTAAAGGAGGAAATCTGAGCGCCTATGGATCTGTCTAGAATGCTGTGTTGTTAATTCTCACTGGTCAGTAATCTGACAATTTAGCCGACCTCCACTGGCACAAATTTATCAAACAACCAATGATGGTCTTCGGCCAATATTATAGACCACAATGTTTGTCAGGATGTTGATAAAACATGCCTTATGTGTGAAATGAGCAAATCTTGTAAATATACATTTTGACTATGATTTTAATAACCCCAAAAAATGTTATGCTGTTATGTTAACGTCAGAGAATTTTTGCTCCCGTTTTAGCGCAAAGCATTGAGTAGTGATCGCTCACTTCACCGTTAAACATTTTGCATTTTTCATCGCTGTCTGGACATTTGACATAAATGTGATCCTCAAGAGTTTAAGAAGATCTTATTATCCCAGTGTACAGTTTCATTATGTCTTAAAGATTGGATTACGTGATTATATGTTAATATATTTTGCTAGATTTGCCGGGGGAAAAACGCCAGATATCAAGCAACGTAACTGACCTGTGTGAGTGATCAGAGTGCTGCTGCTTGTAGTTGTGACTTCATCTATGTATCAAATAAAACAAACATGATTGAACCAATGTTTGAATCTCGCATACACAAAATCATTAAATTATGTTTAGTGTACATACAGGTATTTAAACATAAAAAGACATAAACAGCAGACTGCATTATTTATGGCCTGGCATCCTGCACGGTATCTCCATAGCAACGCATTACAGTAACACCGTCAAACACCATGAAACAACCAGCTTGAATCTCCAGCCAGCTTACTACAGTAACACCGTCAAACACCATGAAACAACCAGCTTGAATCTCCAGTCAGCGTACTACAGTAAAGTAACACCGTCAAACACCATGGAACAACCAGCTTGAATCTCCAGTCAGCTTACTACAGTAACACCGTCAGACACCATGAAACAACCAGCTTGAATCTCCAGTCAGTGAACTACAGTAACACCGTCAAACACCATGAAACAACAAGTTTGAATATCCAGTCAGTGCACTACAGTAACACCGTCAAACACCATGAAACAACAAGTTTGAATCTCCAGTCAGTGAACTACAGTAACACCGTCAAACACCATGAAACAACAAGTTTGAATCTCCAGTCAGTGCACTACAGTAACACCGTCAAACACCACGAAACAACAAGTTTGAATCTCCAGCCAGCGCACTACAGTAACACCGTCAAACACCATGAAACAACCAGCTTGAATCTCCAGTCAGCGTACTACAGTAACACCGTCAAACACCATGAAACAACCAGCTTGAATCTCCAGCCAGCGCACTACATTAACATCGTCAAACATCATGAAACAACAAGTTTGAATCTCCAGTCAGTGAACTACAGTAACACCGTCAAACATCATGAAACAACAAGTTCGAATCTCCAGTCAGTGCACTACAGTAACACCGTCAAACACCATGAAACAACAAGTTTGAATCTCCAGTCAGTGCACTACAGTAGCACCGTCAAACACCATGAAACAACAAGTTTGAATCTCCAGTCAGTGAACTACAGTAACACCGTCAAACACCATGAAACAACAAGTTTGAATCTCCAGTCAGTGCACTACAGTAACACCGTCAAACACCATGAAACAACAAGTTTGAATCTCCAGTCAGTGAACTACAGTAACACCGTCAAACACCATGAAACAACCAGTTTGAATCTCCAGTCAGTGAACTACAGTAACACCGTCAAACACCATGAAACAACAAGTTTGAATCTCCAGTCAGTGCACTACAGTAACGCCGTCAAACACCATGAAACAACCAGTTTGAATCTCAAGTCAGCTCACTGCTGCTAGACGTTCTAAATTTCTTGTTTCCTAAAGTTCACCAGCTGTAATCACTGGCAGACAGTTTTGGTTGTTCTTCCACTGCTGAGCTTTAGTCTTGTTTCAGACAATGGGTTTTGTGTGCACATCCGTTTTACACATTTGTCTCATTCGTAATGGCTTGCGTCACTAACAGTTGCATTCGTACCTTAAAAAAAAATAAAAATAAACAATACTTTTACGGCTTGATAGTTAAGTGGCGGTGGATGTGTTCTTCGATTTATTCACATAAATATATTTGCTGTGCCCATGAATATGCATTATGTATGTTTTACATACGTATGTATGTATGTAAGTGTGTGTATTTCTATATATATATATATATATATATATATATATATA